CGGGGTGCCTTGATAGTCGAAGCAGACTTTGTGCTGTTGAAGCTAGACAGGTGAGCAGAGTAAGTCTGATTCCCTGTAAGGACTTCTCTGTTGACATCCACCCCTTTGCACTCATATGACCGTATGCATTTGCGAGCGCCGTAAAAAATCTACTAAAACTAAAACTAAGGAAATCTCTAGGAAGCAAATGCTGAAAGTTACAATACTGTGATCATCGTAGTTTTACAGGAAAGTGACCAAGCAGTGGAAAATGGATCATTGGCACCGATAACTAAAAATACTGTGGGTGGTAGGCGGGTGCTCTGGTGTGGTTTGCTTCTTCTTTCCTATCAAACATCTATCGTCCTTGTCTCTCCCCTCCTTCTTTTTTATGTTTGTTACTCTTCCTTTCTAAAACAAAAACAGCCCTTGGCGCTCATGCAGTTGAGAGCGCCGTAGAAACCTTTCTAAAACAAAAACACCCTTTGGCAGTCATATGACCTTATGCAGTTGCGAGCGCCGTAAAACCCTTTCTAAAACTAAGGCTTTGTGTTTCAGTCCCGTCCGCCCCGGTCAATCTGAGGGCGGAGGTGATTGGTCAGGGGTCTGTGGTGGTCAAGTGGATGCCCCCCGTGAACCCCAACGGGGCCCTCTCCTCCTACGTGCTCACATACGCCAGGGAGGACTCCCCGCTGGACGAAGACAGCTCTTGGAAGAGTATCACTCAGGAAGGTGGGTGGTTGGCGGGTGATCTGGTGTGGTTTTGCTTCTTCTTTTCTATCAAACATCTGTCAATTTGGCTAAAACAGCACCTGGACATGGATAGCTGGTGACTCTATAAATGAATCATTGATGATGGTCAAACATCTTTTGTGCTTAATCTCTCCTCCTCCTTCTTTTTTTGTGTTTGTTACTCTCTTGCAACACCTCTAATCTTCGGCACTTCTCTACTTCTTTTGTATGTTTGTCACTCTCTTGTGACCTGCTATTTCCGGGGTGCCTTGATAGTGGAAGCAGACTTCGTGTTGTTGAAGCTAGAGAGGTGAGCAGAGTAAGCCTGATTCCCTGTAAAGACTTCTCTGTTGACATCCACCCCTTGGCGCTCATATGACCTAATGCAGTTGTGAGCGCCGTAAAACCCTCTACTAAAACTATTTTTAAAAAAAACCTTTTTCCCAGCTCTAAATGACCATGTGGGTGGTTGGCAGGTGCTCTGGTGTGGTTTGCTTCTTCTTTCCTATCAGACATCTATCGTCCTTATCTCCCCT